AGGTGAAACGAATCATGTATTGTTTTCTCCTTTGTTCTTTCTCACTGTCCTTTAATCTATCAATAGATATTAACATTAACTAGAACTTCTCTATTAATTATGATTTGTGGGGAGGACTTTCGACAATTCCTCTCGTTGTAGAGAGAGGTCGACAAGAAGGTTTGGAGAACGCATGCATGAAGAAGACTCATTTGTAGCAGAACTGATCATTTTCCATCAACAAGAGAGCTGCAGCAGACAGTAGCGAGTATGCAAGGATGAACGATATCACGCAGCAGCGACTACCTACGCAATGGGGATTGAAAGTATTCAGGAGCGCTGACGATGTAGAAAATGCAGACCTAGAAGACCCTCATAGTTATCAAGTGGAGCATCTGTACAAGTTGCAGTCTGTCACGTTTGCACTTCAGGTTATCTTGAAGGAGATTCATACTCCGCCCCCTTCCTCCCGTCAGTGGTCATGGAGATCGCTATATCATTGTGTTCGGTTCATTCTGTGAATTCGTATTCCTTTCCTCTGCTCTCTCTCTTCATGTGTCCACCGGTGGCACGGTTTCGATCCAGCTCACCAGATTCTAGGGCATTTGCAGGGCTTGAAGAACTAATCGCACCTTTACCTCCGAGCATCTCGCAGACCTCTTAGCAGATCAAGGCGATCAAGCTGAAGTTCTCGGTCGTGATGCCAAACGTTTGCGGGAGGCGACGGGGCTCGTCATCGCTGAAGCTCGGGGAGATCTAGGTCTGGAACAGTCCACCTCTCTCACAATCAGAAGATTAACGAAGATAATGCGGTTCTATTGGCTGACCTAAAGCAATCCTTTGCCGCCGGGGAGGGGGGGGGGGGGGGGGGGGGGAGGAGCACATCAGGTCGGTTCTTATTGAAGCAGATCTTGGTCCGAACGTGCCTTTAGCCGAAATTATTAAAAAGCATCAAAGGCATAGACCTGGACTAGCAAACGAAAGGCGTTTCCCTTGTTAGGACACCTTGATGGGGTCGTCCGTGAAAAGATCTGCCTAAAACTCTGGACACTCTTCTTTCTTCCGAGTGAATGCTGCCACACTTACTCTAGGTGGTGAAAGACAGCATTGAAAGGCGGCTGCCTACATGCTTCATTATCACTGCTTAAATTTCGAAGCCCTGTGTGGATATCACGTTCGAGCCATTATCCATTGTTGATGCCTAGTTAGGCGTGTTCCTAACATGGAGTGAAGAGAAGCCACTTCTTTGGTCAGTGGGTCTCTCCCTTTATCTTCTCCAGTTCTTGTAGAAGTCCTTTTCCTCTTCATTGTTCGTTGTACTGTCGTAGATATCTTCATTTGCTCGATTAGCGCTTTTGAGATGTTACACACACAGAAAAAAGGCGGTGGTTCATGGTTGCTTGTCAAGGAATCTTTTTTTATCTCTGGGAAGTAATCTCAGCCGATATATTAATTTACTTCCGATTGTTCCTATCGAATGATTTTAGTCTATTGAACTCCAATGTGTACCTTTGCCATCACAGTGTTATTGATCAAGTGCCTAAGAGATCCTACTGCACTTCAGTCCACCGGTCTGTTGATGGGGATTCAATTTTGCCGACACTGAATGGAGTAAATTCCATGTTCGGTCTTCTTGCAACCTGGGCATATTGTATAATGTTTTTCACTGTTTTGCCGTACAGGTTTGTTAAGGCAGAAACCGCTTTATTGGTCGACGTTTCGACAAATCGCCGTCTTCAGGACCTGAAAGCAGTTCGGAGCTCCTGATCTGTGGCTTACCCGACCAAGCGCCCAAACGCGCTAACCCAGTTGCAACAGCTCCCAGAAACTTGAACACTAAAAGATCCCAACCGAGAAACCAACCTTCTGCGGTTCCACCAACGTTGTCGTCCTACTCGATTCCGTGAACAACTAAGGCCAATGAGGTACACCACTGACGGTCGTTGGATAAGAGTTGCGCGGTTTTCTCAAAGCTCACAAAAAGAAATGAACGGCAGAAATTCGCTTGTTATGGCAATGCACTCATTTCGGTTGTTCAGTTCAGGATTTCTCTCGTGGATTTGGAACGCTTCCAAAATCTTTCTAGCACCGATCTCATTCTCGTAGGCTAGGATTTTGCATTTGATATTAAAATCATTGCCTTGATGTACTTCTACTCGATGCTTCCCAAGTGGCGTGAATAGGCTTCCGCGCCTTTTACCTGCTGGATGTTCTTTGACACGTATGCCTAACATCCTTCCCGTCTCACCAATATACATATATTCCGTCACAGGCTGAACACTGAAGTTGGTACACTGTCCCTCGTTGTACACAATCTCCGTCTTTTCCAAACGGACAAATAACGCAGTAATTCGTAGAACATGCACGATCATAAAGTCTATTGCGGACAAGGTGACGTTTGATATTGTCCCTCGGTAGGTTTACCAGGGCAACATCATTCGCCAAATCCGCTCGAGCAATGCATTGTCGAACTTTTGCGCTAACTTTATCCGGTATAAATGGAAGCCGGAGATGCATCACATTCTCACGGTTTCTCTGCGAATACGCTTTTGAGTCTGACCATCTGTGTCCCATGGCCATTCAAGTTTGCGGTCTCGCATGCTAGCTTACATGACTTCTCTCGTTCCACCTCGCCTGTACACACTCCTGTAGCCGTTCTGTACAAGTTACGAACTACTGCACGTTTCACAGCTTCAGGGTGAGCAGACTTAGCATGGAGTAAATATTCTTCGAGCTGTTCTTCCGATACCACGTCACATGATACCTTCCACCTGAGATCTTTATCTGCGTGTTCAGATAAGGAAGCCAACCTTCGTGCAAAACTTCCTTCGTGAACCTGATATGTTGTGACTGTCGGTTGAGGATGTCAAACAATATATCCATCTTTTGCTGCGTTGATGTTATTACGCAGCAGTCATCGATATACCGACAGAACATAATGGGCATGCGCGCTATAACTGGCCTTTCTATTCTGCTCATGAAGCAGATAGCTAAGACCGGTGCTAGCCGCTGACCCATAGCAAGTCCTCGCTTTTGAGAGAAGTACTGCCCGCTCCACTTGAAGATATTACAGTTAAGGCATCCCTTGATCAGAGCCATTATGTGAAACTTGCTCAATCCGAACGTCACAATTTCTGCTTCATGCTCATCCAGCATTTCCGAGACCGCTTGAAGAGCTTCGTCGTTGTTGACGTTCGTATAAAGCGCAGTTACATCAAACGACTCTACTACGCAGTTTTTCGAAGCCTATATGAGCGCAGGCGATCAAGAAATTCATTTGTATTAGGAAGGTGTGAGGTACGTATCGGAGTAGTTGACCAATAATTTTGTTGAGGAACGAGGAAATCCGGTCCGTTGGTCCTCCTACACGGCTGATGATGGGCCTGATTTTATAATCGCTAGCATTAAATGACTTTTCAGCTCCCTTGGACAACTTATGAGTCTTGATCAGGCTGTGGAAAACCGGGCACGAGGGTGCAACCAACTTTAATCTTCTAATCAGCATTCCATTTAATTTGCAATCTTTCCAATTGACACCCACAAGGTTTTCAGCTTAAGACATTTGGTGAGGAACGCCTTTTCCGTGGAACGACTGGTTCACGAAATCGAGTAGGACGACAACGTTGGTGGAATCGCTGAAGGTTGGTTTCTTGGTTGGGATCTTTTAGTGTTCAAGCTTCTGGGAGCTGTTGCAACTGGGCTAACGCGTTTGGGCGCTTGGTCGGGTAAGCCACAGATCAGAAGCTCCAAACTGCTTTCGGTTTTGAAGACAACAATTTGTCGAAACGTCGACCAATAAAGCGGTTTCTGTCTTAACAAACCTGTACGGCAAAACAGTGAAAAACAACACTGTATGGATTTTTAGGTCTTGAGCTCGCACTGAAATAATTCGCTCCTTTGTGAGCATGCTCATCAATNTTTCGGCGCGGCGGGACGCCTATATAAGGACCGACGCCATTAGTTCGTTATTAATTGTTTTCTTTTCTTCGGGAGTCTCTCCCGCATTATTGTTTTGTGTTTTTTGTTGGATAAAGCACTTATCCTCATGTTCGCCGGTAACATAAGAACCCGCAAAACCCACATGGGGGTCGAACCGAAGGACCTGGTCGAGCATTAGGATAAGTGAATTTGTAGCACTAGAAGCGGAGATGCCCTCCAGCTTCTGAGAGTGCAACCAGCTCGTGTGCCGTCAGTCGCGGTGGAGCTGGATAGCTGCCGTGGGGTAGCACCACTAAGAGCAGTGGACGATTATCGATATCGATCCACTTGATATCTTAGTGGGCGGGTAAGCATTTTTACAAGGTTGAACTCTGCGCAAATTTTTTTTTGCCAACTAGCCTTGTAAAAGTGTGCACCAATCGCAGTTGACTGCTTTAGCAGGCTTAGGCGAGGTTCAATCGCGGTAAGCTGCTATTGCTAGTTAAAGCGAGTTCAGTGGGCGCAGGAAAGGCGCGAAAAAGGCATCCGCTACACAGCCACCGACTGATTGATTTATAAGTACTAGCTAGTAGATAGTTAGTTACTTTGGAATTTGTTCGATTCCGTACTCGCGTAAATCGAGACTTTCTCCTCTCGTGGCGATATTGGATTATCTATAGAGAATTCTCGATCGAACAAATGTTGTCATTTGAGAACAGGGACGACGATAGAGTCGCGAACCTACAATCCCAGGTGGCAACGCTGATGGAGCAAGTAGAAAAGCTCACTCAACAGGCGGTCCAGGTAAAATCCTCAGTAAACATTGTACAAAATGAGGTGCAAGCGCTGCAGACACTGCCAGAGCGAGTCCAACAGGAGATATGGAAGGACAATAGAACANGGGCAGCTGAAAAGAACCGTGATGAAGTAGCTCTGACGGTCTCAAAACTTGCGGGTGACAGCTGTGAGATCATAAACAGAGAAATGCCAAAAATTAAACAACTGGTAGATCATCTCCTTCTGTGGGAGAACTACAATTGGGAACAGCTGATAAGTGAGCTTAAAGAACTTCAGGCACAAGCACTACACGATGATCAGTGTATGAGAGAATTAGCGCGTTTTTTGAATGTAGCGTCAACTGAAGTTGTCAGCACAGTAAAGACCTATTTTGGCAAAAGTGGAAAACACAAGGAGCCTTGTTCGAATACCCCGAACTTGGCCCATCCTGTCGGGCATGAGCGATCTGAAAGTGCTGATAGGCAACTGTTTCAGAGAGAACAGCCGATGGAAGTGGATAATCCGAGCACTAGCACAAGCTTCAGAAGTGTCATGAAACAAGTGCGAGAACGGGATCGCGCCCCATTTGCAGAGCTCACGCCTTTCGATTTAGCTGAAGCTGAACGAAGTCAGTTGAATCCCTTTAAAACAGCTACTGTACTCCGGTATCTCAAAATGACGACCTTGAATTTGTTAACAATGCCTTTTTACAGTCGTCACGAGGGAAGGAGAGGCCACTAACCGCACCACCGACGCCAGGTATGTTTCCATCCTTATCACGATTTTCGCCGTAAATGAATATGGGTGTAACTTTAGCGGCTATCGCGTTACCGGAGGTATCCCCCTTTTCTGATCCTCAGCGAAAGGGGTTTGAACATTTCATAAAATCTTTTCATATGAAATATGGTGGGTTAGGCCTACAAGATGAGATGTTAATTCACCTTATGTGTTCAAAACTGCAAGGGTATCCGAAAGC